GGATTATTTCAATTTCTTCGATTTCTTCAAATTTGGTCAAAATTTGATGAAATGGTGAAAGTCCAAACATCGGCCACATATTTACTTGACTCAGTCGAGTCTTTGATCGACCAATTGCATATGAATGCCAAACTCGAGTGGATGCTGAGTCGACCACCGAGAATTGCTTTATGTGGACTCCGTTTGTTTGTGTGTGTTAGTCTTCGCGCAGACTGCATACTATTCACTCGAAAAATCTGGACTCCTGCAATCTCTTGCTTGCGACGTTCGTGGCGCAGACGCATATCGTGAACGCCTCCCTCCGCGACTCCCATTTCAACTCTCTCGCGGTTCTTCGTGGTAACTCTCTCTACCGCCTGATTTCTCCCTTGTTTCTAGGGTTGATTTTGATGCAATATCAGCTGGTTTTCCTCTGCTTTTAGCTGAACGTGAGGCCGAGAGTTGAAGATTTAGATGTTGAATGCTAATTTTCCCTGCTGAGTTCGGGAGAGTAGAGTGAGGCCAATCGATTTCATCGTTAAAGATCCGATTTTTGATGGATTTAGGGTTCCTTTTCCTGGATCAGTCATGGTCTCTGATGCAGCTCCGTTCCCTTCTCTGTGCCTCCGTCGCCTTCTCGCTATTGGCGGCTACTTTGGTCGTCGTTGCTGTCGACAACTCCACCTATTACGTGCCAAGAGACGACATCCTCCTCAACTGCGGCGCCTCTGGTCAGGCATCTAGCTTCGACGGACGATCCTGGACCGGCGACACCGGAACCAGGTACGCCCCCTCCTTGAACGGCGACGGCTTCGATGCTCTACGTCAAGATCCATCGGTCTCCACGGTCCCGTACTCGACCGCTAGGGTCTTCACTTCTCCCTTCACCTACCGCTTCCCTCTCAGCGCCGGCCGGAAATTTATCCGCCTCCATTTCTACCCTTCCGATTACTCCAACCATGCCGTTTCCGATGCCTTCTTCTCCGTCACATCTGGCCCTTACACCCTTCTTCACAACTTCAGCTCCTACCTAACTGCCGATGCCCTAAATTTCGCGTATCTAATCCGTGAATACTCCGTAAACGTCTCTACCGGCGGCCTAAACCTCACTTTCATTCCATCAACCACCCATCCCAACTCCTATGCCTTCATTAACGGTATCGAGATTGTATCAATCCCCGACTTGTTTAGCTCAGCAACACCTTTGCTTGTCGATGGAGATGATGGTCATATTGTTTACACTATCGATCCCGACCAAGCTCTGGAGACGGTTTACCGGCTCAATGTGGGTGGGCAAGCAATTCCCCCCATCGAAGACTCCGGCTTGTTCCGCTCTTGGGACGACGACTCGCCTTACATTTATGGGGCTGCATTTGGTGTGACCTACTCCAATGATCCGAATGTTACCATCACATACCCGACCAGTGTTCCAAGTTACATTGCACCACCGGATGTCTACTCCACAGCAAGATCAATGGGTCCAAACGCACAGGTGAACTTGAACTACAATTTAACCTGGATTCTCCCTGTGGATGCTGGCTTCTATTTCCTTGTCCGGCTACATTTCTGTGAGATCCAGTATCCGATAGTGAAGATAAACCAGAGAGTCTTTGACATCTACCTTAATAACCAGACTGCAACAGAAGAAGCTGATGTCATTGGTTGGAGTGGCGGTATCGGTATCCCTGTGTACAGGGACTATGTGGTGATGACAATGGGAAGAGGACAGATGGATCTGTGGGTTGCGCTTCATCCAGATACACTCTCCAAACCGGAGTATTATGATTCCATCTTGAATGGGCTTGAGGTGTTCAAGTTGCAGAACAGTAATAACAGCCTGGCTGGTCTTAATCCAGGAGCACGCTCGCAGTTGTACGTCGATCCTAGAGATGTCAGGAAGGGGAGTGCAAAACACAAGAGTGAAGTTCCTGTTATTGTTGGAGTGATTGGAGCTTTTGCTGTTTTGCTCGCTGTTATTTGCCTGATTGGAATGTGCAAATGCCAGAAGAATAAGAAGATGAAGAAAGGGAAGGGTGCAGTTACAAGCAATGGACCTTATGGTTTGTCGCCTCTCTCCCTCTATGGCAACGCACGTTCAGCTGTGTCGGCCGAGTCTAACCTCTGCCGCTACTTCTACATTGCAGGGATAAAAGCTGCCACAAGTGACTTTGATGAGTCTACCGTGGGGAGATAGATGGTGGGATCACAAGGTTGAGATGCTTTCCAAACACAATCACCTTGTCTTTTGATCGGTTTGTAAGAAATCATTGAAGCTAACTTATTTTTAAATTATTATAATAGAAACACAATAAAAACTGATACGAAAATAAAATAATACATCTCTATCCAGTCAATAATTTTTACAGAGGTTTCTTCTTGAACTTTGTTACTTCTTGGCTTAGAACTTTCGTTTTAGATGGTGTATGAAATCTTTTTTTGCTTCAAAGAGATGATCGAGTCCAGAGACCAAAATTCTCATATATATATATAGATGTTCTCCCATCAAGAATATTTATTTTTACCAACTCATAACGTTCAAGAATTAATTCAAATTTATAATATTTGGACTATAACGAAGAATTTTAATGATATTAAATATTTAATTTAATAATAACGATTTTATGTATAATTAATAAAAAACTAAAATCATTTAAACCATAATAAATGAAGAAATTCATGATAATGAATTATGAATCTTAATGAGAATGGTTATATTATTATTAAATAAGATATTTAATAATAACGGTTACATTCTCCCACTTGATCCATACATTTATCTTAATAATTTGAATTAACCTTTCTCGAACAACTTTCTTAAGAAATAAATACATGAATCATAACGATAAGTCTTCTAAGAGCAAGTATTATCATCCATGTATCACGATATATTTAGTTTCTTAATCTCAATGTGGTAATATTACTCAATGAATAAACCTTATGTTTATTCTTAGTCCAGTAACAATATATTTTCTCAAAATAATGTGCACATGAATGAGAAAATATTATAATATATAAGAGTTTCAATATCATTACAAAGTGGAACCAAGTCTCATTTTCTCTACATGATCCTTGAATTTTAAAGGTGGCATACCTTTAGTCAAAGGATCAATAATCATCAATTCAGTGCTAATATGGTCAATAATCATTTTATTTTCTTTTACACGTTCTCTTATGGCTAAATACTTAATTTCGATGTTTTTACTTCGACTTCGACTTTGATTGTTTTTAGCCATAAAGACAGCAGCTTAATTATCATAGAAAATTTTTAATGACCTAGAAATAGAATCCATGACTCTAAGCCCAGAAATGAAACTCTTAAGCCATACACCATGTGAAGTAGCCTCCAAACAGGAGATAAACTCAACTTCCATGGTAGAAGTAGCAGTCAAGGTCTGCTTGGTGCTTCTCCAAGAAATAGCTCCACCGACCATCATAAAAATATATCCTGATGTTGATTTATGAGAATCAACACAACCGACAAAGTCTGAATCTGAGTAACCAATCACATCCAGATTGTTTGTATATCTATACATAAGCATATAATCTTTGGTTCCTTGTAGATACCTAATCACTTGCTTTACAGCTCTCTAATGGTCCATACTTGGATTACTCTGATATCGATCTAGCATCCCCACAATAAATGCAATATCAGGTCTAGTACAAACCTGAGCATACATAAGGCTTCCTACGATAGAAGCAAATGGGATATTTTTCATTGATTCCCTTTCAAGGTTGTTCTTTGGGCATTGGTTCAAATTGAACCTAGAAATCTTTCTAAAAGTTTATCGATATAGGTTTCTTGTGATAAACCTAAAATACCATGAGGTCTATCTCTATGGATCTTAATGCCAATGACATAAGATGCTTCACCCATATCCTTCATGTTAAAATTTTTAGAAAGAAATTGTTTCACCTCATGCAGCAAACCCTTATCGTTGGTTGCAAGCAAAATATCATCTACATATAAAATAAGGAAACATATTTTACTCACACTAATCTTCTAATATATGCATTGATCCATGGGATTTTTAACAAATCCAAATGAAGAAATCACTTCATAGAATTTAAAATACCATTGGCGGGAGGTTTGTTTTAAGCCGTATATAGACTTCCTAAGCTTACAAACCAAGTGTTCACCAACACTAGAGGAGAAACCTTCACGTTATTTCATATAAACCTCTTCCTCTAGATCTCCATTAAGAAATGATGTTTTCACATCCATTTGTTGTAACTCAAGGTCAAAATGAGCAACTAATGCCAAAATAATACGTAGAGAATCTTCCTTAGATATAGGAGAAAACGTCTCCGTATAATCGATTCTCTCTTTTTGAGTAAATCCCTTTGCAACAAGTCTTGCCTTGTATCTCTCAATGTTGCCTAATGAATCTTTCTTAGTTTTAAAGACTCATTTGCAACTAATAGCCTTTGCTTCATTAGGCAACTCTACAAGATCCCAAACTCCATTGCTCATCATGGAATTCATCTCTTCTTTCATAGCATCATGCCACAAATTTGACTTTTTGTAACTCATGGCTTATGAAAATATTTTAGGATCATTTTTTGCTCCAATATTATCTTAATCATTAGGAATTGCTGATCTTTTATTTTTAATAGATCTTCTTAATGTTGTACCAATATTTTCCTGTGGAACTTGTGGTTCAACTAGTTATTCAGGAGCTTGTTATAATTCCTGAACTACTTGATATATTAGAATACTATCAACAACTTGTGGAATTTTAATGATTGGTTGTTCAGCACTAGTTTGTACTTGAGGAGTGTTATGAACTATAACCAATCTATTATTTGATGTGGAAGGTTGAGATTTTATATGATCATGTGCGGAAACTATGTTCCTGAAATGATCGCTCCTACTAATTACATCATTCTTAAGAAATTTAGTATTTCTTGATTCCACAATCCTAGTTGTGTGAGATGGACAATAGAACCTGTAACCTTTAGACTTTTCGGCATATGTAATAAAATACCCACTAATAGTCCTCAGGTCCAATTTATTCTCTTGTGGATTATATATCCTAACTTCAGATGGACATCCCTAAATGCGCATATGTCGCAAACTCGGTTTCCAACCTTTCCATAATTCAAATGGTGTCTTTTGGACAGCCTTGATTGGAACTCGGTTTAATATATACACAACCGTCTTTAGTGCTTCAGTCCACAAGAACTTAGGAAGATTGGAGTTGCTAAGCATACTCTGCACCATGCTAATAATGTTCGGTTTCTTTTTTCTGCAACACCATTCTGGTCTGGAGAACTAAACATAGTATATTGGGCAATAATCCAATGTTCTTAAATAAACTTAACAAAAGGACCAAGTGCTTGTCCATTTTTAGTATATCTACCATAATATTCTCCACCTCTATCTGATCTCACAATTTTAATTTGCTTACCACATTAGTTCTCAACTTCAGCCTTAAAAACTTTGAAGGCATACAATACTTCATTTTTGTTATGAAGCAAATATATATACATATATCGTGAGTAATCATCTATAAAGGAGATGAAGTATTTCTGGCCATGTATGTCCAAGTCTGGATAACATATATCAGTATGAATGATCTCTAATAAGTATGAACTCCTATTAGTACCCTTTTTGGACTTATTGGTCTGCTTTCCCTTAATACAGTCCACACAAGTCTTAAAATTAGTAAAATCAAGAGTACTAAGTACCTTATCTTCAAGTAATCTTTTAATTCTCTCTATGGAGATATGTCCTAATCTCCGATACCATAATATAGAGAGGAGTCCTCATTGATATTACACCTCTTAATGCTAGTGTGAACATGCATTGAACTTTAAGTATTATCATTTTGTAATAAAATACAATAAAGACCATCAAACAAAATATCATTCCCAACACAATCAGAATTATATAATAAACGAAATGATATGTCTTTAAAATTAAAGGAATACCCAAATGGTATGAGTCTGGAAACAAAAATTAAGTTTCGTGAGAAACTTGATACATAAAAGGTCCTTTCCAATTTTAAAACAAAACCACTACTTAAAGTTAAAATGCATGTTTCAATGCCTCCACATGTGAGCCCATCTTATTTCCTGATAAGATGCTTTGCTCACTTCCCACTGGCTTCCTTAGGTTTTGCATACCCTGCAAAGAGTTTGTAATATGGATTGTTAATCCAGAGCCAATCTATCAGGTGTTAATATTAACATTGACCATATTAGATTCATAACACACAAACGAGGTTAGTTTACCTTTCTTTTCAAGTCATTGTTAGAATTTCGTGCATTCCTTCTTTATGTCCCTTTCTTTTATAAAAGAAATATCTTGCTTCTTTCTTGATATCAGCTTGGGGTGGTATTTTACCTTTTCCCTACTGATGAGCTTTCTGATTGGCTTGATGTTTGTCAGTTTTATTCTTTCCGCGAGTGGTTACCACCAATGCACTCTCACCCAATTCCATCACTAGCCTCTCTTCTTTTTGAAGACACATGGTCATTAATTCATTGATTGACCATTTGTCCTTATGTGTATTATAGGAAATTTTAAAAGGGCTATATTGAGGTGGAATGGTGTTTAGAATATAGTGCACAATGAAGGATTTTGACATATTAACCTCGAGTTTCTTAAGTTGAGCCGCAATATCTTGTATTTGCATTATGTGCTCACGCACACCCTTTATGTTAGTGAGTCTATGGGATGAAAATTTCATTATAAGGGTACTTGATAGTGCCTTATCCGAAGTGACGAATTGTTCATCGATAGCTTTTAGTAAGTCTCGAACATTTTCATGCTGGTCAACAGAACCACATATGCTAACAGTTATCTTAAGTTTGATAAACATCACACTAAGCCGATTGGATCACTCCCATCGCTCATATAACGTGATCTCAGTTGGAGTGCTGGTATTAATGACTATAGGTGGTTCGTCTTTCTTTATAGCACAATCAATATTCATCCATCCTAAATGGAGGAGAACTCTCTCCTTCCATATCTTATAGTTATCACCATTAAGTTCGGGAATATCACATCGAATATCAGAGAAATTATCAGTTTGAGAAACTACATAAAATCAAACATGCTTATGCCAATAGTTTCATTACAAAGTGGAACCAAGTCTCATTTTCTCTACATGATCCTTGAATTTTAGAGGTGGCATACCTTTAGTCAAAGGATTAACAATCATCAATTCAGTGCTAATATGCTCAATGACCACTTTATTTTCTTTTACACGTTCTCTTATGGCTAAATACTTAATGTCGATGTGTTTACTTCGACTTCGACATTGATTGTTTTTAGCCATAAAGACAGCAGCTTAATTATCATAGAAAA